CTGTTTGTGTTGTCCGTACAAGTTTGTTTCTACTGCCTCGTGCATGATGAAATAACTACCCACCTATGCCGACTTACTTTTTGAAGGCTAATTTTTGTGAATCGCTACACAAACTGGTGTGTGTGTATGTTTACTAAACATTGTACAAGCTCTGGTATGTGTGTATGTCCACTAAACATTGTACAAGCTCTGGTCTTGGTATGTTCACCAAGCATTGTGCAAGCTCTGGTATGTATGTATGTCCACTAAACATTGTACAAGCTCTGGTCTTGGTATGTTCACTAAGCATTGCGCAAGCTCTGGTGTGTGGGTATGTCCTCTAAACATTATACAAGCTCTTGTGTTTGTGTATGTCCGCTAAACATTGTACAAGCTCTGGTGTGTGGGTATTCCCACTCAACATTGTACAAGCTCTGGTGTGTGGGTATTCCCACCCAACATTGTACAAGCTCTGGCGTGTGCGTATTCCCACTCAACATTGTACAAGCTCTGGTGTGTGGGTATTCCCACTCAACATTGTACAAGCTCTGGCGTGTGCGTATTCCCACTCAACATTGTACAAGCTCTGGTGTGTTGGTATTCGCACTCAACATTGTACAAGCTCTGGCGTGTGGGTATTCCCACTCAACATTGTACAAGCTCTGGTGTGTGGGTATTCCCACTCAACATTGTACAAGCTCTGGTGTGTGGGTATTCCCACTCAACATTGTACAAGCTCTGGCGTGTGGGTATTCCCACTCAACATTGTAAAAGCTCTGGTGTGTGGGTATTCCCACTCAACATTGTAAAAGCTCTGGCATGTTGGTATTCCCACTCAACATTGTAAAAGCTCTGGCGTGTGGGTATGTCCACTTAACATTGTACAAGCTCTGGTGTGTGAGTATGTCCACTTAACATTGCATCTACATGAGACGTTTGGAGTTGGCAGACGATTGAATAATAGTGCTTTCAATAACACTTTGGACACTGGGGATGTCCAAGCACATCGTTATGTTTCTATTTTAAAGGTGATATTCTGTTTAAGAAAAATGTGAATAATCAGCAATAAAGATTTTTTTTCATTTCAAATTATTATTTCTCTGGTCCTTTTATATACTTTTGAAATAAAAGTAAATATATTCAGTTTAGATTTGCCTTGCCTTGCCGAGTCACACAATTATATATATCATCACCCAGTGGCGTGTTTAGCATAGTTTAGTATATCACAACATCTAGTTACAGCATATCACACAGTGGTATGTCTAGCATTATTCTGCATATCTTGTGTACATATCACACACAGTATATTTCGTCTGGTCATGTATATAAGAATATTAAGTCCACACTTTAACACTGCATTCCAAATAGCTTAGATCTGTATAGCATTTAGTACTACATTTAGCGCTGGTTCTGAAACAGAAATCTGCAAAAGGCAGAACACTGGTGTGATAAGAGTCATGGTCTAGGATCACGCAACATTTTGTCTTCCGGGATGCGAATGCCAGCGGAAGTCTGCATCATGTAAGTGATAGCATCAACCCTGTATTCACGGCAGTCCTCACGATACCCACACGTCTCGGTATGGTTGTCGTACATAGCCTTGAATCTTTACATGGGATTACGTGTAGTGTATGGAGATTAAAGTCATAGACTGATTCTTACTCATTTATAGATCTCAGTGTTTAACAATGTCCAAATGCGTGTGTTCATTGAGGCATTTAAGCTCAACTATTGCAGTGCTTGATCTGATATAAATGATGATATGAATGTTCAGATATGAATATCAAATCGCTATTGGTTTTGTACTGCGCAGCTGCCTGAAGTTTTCATAGTTTGATGTATGTGTTATGCTCCCAAAATAGTCTTGGGCACAAAAGATTGACAAAATAATGAAACATTTACCAAATTACATTTTGACATCATCACGCTCTTTATCAAATTACATTTATAAAGGCAATCTTTGAAGTTGAAATTTCTTTGTTACCCCGGAAATATTTCTGCCAGTATTATCATCAGATCATTCTTCCCCTTTTGTAGCTGGTGTCAAGCGAGCAGAAAAGTGTCCCGCACTCTCGAGGATCACTGGTACATTAGTTGAAAAAGTCAAGCCATTGTTGACAAAAACCACCATTCATCTGCAGCAAATTGCATTTTCAAATCTAATCCTTATTATCTGTATTTAACCCCAAGGAATACCATCATTTCATTTGGTGGTTTTATGAACAATAAGCTTCATTTTTGGATTTGTGTGCCTTAAATTTGTCCACTTGATGAGATTATGTTTGAATTATAGTTTGACGATATTCAATTACAGAATTATTTTCTCCATTTCATTTCCCCTGAGGATGAGACTGGCAATGCGGATTGAAGTCTGACGGTCTGCCTTAAGGGAAACCTCAGGACGTGAAGGAAATACCACTCTCGTGTATCTTCCCGTGGTCTTGTGTTATTGTGGGCTTTCCTTTCAATTTGATACGTCATGACATGTCTGGACTATTGTTCTCACTCACTCATTCACTCACTCACTCACTCACTCATAAACTAGGTTCTAATAAAGCTATACAGCGCAGTGTAGATTATCAGTTATATATTTTATATTATATTGTGTATACAAGTGTTATCTATGCGATAAACCAATCCGATAACATTGGTATCACGTTCCGATAAGTATTCAAATGAGATCCACTCGCAGGAACTACTTTCATGCGCCATACCTTGATGCAAAGCCCTCTTTCTCAATAAACTATGGACGAACATTATCAATATGCTGAGAAAGGCGTTTCCTCATGTGTCTCACAGCTGCAGGTTATGTGACACTTTATGATACATTGGGCGGTTTACTCAAACATTATATTCATACGCGGTTTCTAAAGAGTCTTCACTGAATGAAATTACGCCTTAAACATCCATTATTGATATGAATGACATATGATGATATATAAAGATTATTACTTTCGTGTGCTTCCGTATCGTAAATAGAATTTATAGGGAATACAAAGATGAATTATCCTCGTCGATGGCTTGCATGATACAATTTGTAATCCTAACATATTATATTTACGATGCAAAAACACATTCAGTTCATTATGTATTGGTCTCAACATCAAACCAAACAGTACCCTGAAGTGCATGAGGATTATATTTGAAAGCTACATGACCTCATCGATTTATTTTCATACTTCTTGATTAATATTACATTCAAACATATATATTCATGAATATATAACTTCATATATATATATCATTGACACTTTCCCCAAAAAAAGTTCATTTGTTATAGTCAAAGATATGACACCCATTTGTCAAAATAAATTCAAATTTGAAACACAAATGCAACTCTACCAACGCCTGCTTTGGACGCAAACGAAATTGACTTTAAAATATCATTTCAGCGAAGACACCAGGGATTCGGTAAACAGAATAGCGTGCCCCACCGGGCAAATGCTACCTGTCGTGCTTGGAAGTCGAAGTAACGCACCAGATGTCTCTCAAAAGCATACTCCAGAACAATCGGATGCCAGGAAGTCCTCTGGTAATCTGGTAATACGAAGATGGCAGAGAAATGGACAACAGGCACGGCATTTTAAAATATCATTGCAAACAAACCATTCTCGTTGTAATAATGATATTAGTTCCATAGCAGGTCCTGCAGTGATTTCAAACAATGACGTCTTTGACATCAACCCTGCTGGAGTACACTGGCAACAGCATCAGTGCTGGTGTAATGAAGCTGTTGATTTTCAAAAGAATTATAAACACACACTCTTGATGACTTAGCAAACATAGCATGTTCAAAGATCAAACTGTTTCGTTGGATAGCATTTGCGCTGACATTGTTAACTGGGGCGAACGTGTCTACAAATTTGTTCTGTATAGACATTCCGTGATCTATTTTTTCAACGTGTTACACAGCTCTGTCCAAATTATCTCCTGTGACTCAAAATACTCTGATAGTGCGTTACGTGGGTCGCCCAAACGTTGATTAGTGTCCCGCAAACAAGCCAGAGTTAATTAATATTTTAAGTCTTGGTTAAGAAGACAGTGGTGTGAGACGATTCTAGAAGAACGTGCTCATTTACATGTTTGGACGGGCGGGGGTTAAATAATTGACAGCACTGTACTAAGCCAATTACGCCTGAAACTCGTGTTTGTGTGCAGAGAGCAATTGCCAAACGCAGGTCACGGTAGCTAAAACCAGTTACTAATTTGTACATGCTACAAATCCTGACTTTGTACTATGCTATATTTAACACTTTTTACCAACTTGGTGTAAATAACGTTTAATGTATCTCTGAATATATCGATATTGTTTCGTTTGGAATATAAGCATTAACCGTCTAGCATTTAATGGTCTAGGTATCCTGGGAAGCAAGGATGATATAAATAGGCAATCAATCGTGGAAAGGCTTTTATTGACGGTATTGAACAGAAAACTTTAGGGGAAATAAACTATTGTCAATGGGTAAATGTTAGTCTACAGCCGGCTCTCCTTTGTATCCGCCACGAACTGGGAGGGGCATTTGAGTTCATTACCGAGAATTAGTGGATCCAGATTGGCGGATGTATGGCCCAATCTGTTGATTTCCCTGTATTCACTTTTATTTCACACGATGAGCTGAGTAGATTTAAATATACTGAAAACATTCATATCGAGTTCGAAAATTATAATTAATAATCTCTTTTATCCGGAGTGCAGCGTTCTTACTAAAATCGTCAGGGTTACCGAAGGTTTGTAAAATTCAATAACAGAAACGCGGCTCGCGCTGTTACGTCATGTTTCTTGTGATGCTCGTGTGGTCTTCTCCTGATCTCCTTGTGGTCGTCTTCTAGTCTTCCTGTGGCCTTCTTGTGACTTTCTTGTTGTGGCCTAATTCCTATTGATTTCCTGTGGTCTTCATGTGGCCTACAGGGGTCTTCTTGTGGTCTTGTCGTTACCTTCTTGTGGCCTACAGGGGTCTTCTTGTGGTATGGTCGTTACCTTCTTGTGGCCTACTGTGGTCTTCTTGTGGTATGGTCGTTACCTTCTTGTGGCCTACAGGGGTCTTCTTGTGGTATGGTCGTTACCTTCTTGTTGTCTTCTTGTGGTCTACTGGGGTCTTCTTGTGGCCTACTGGGGTCTTCTTGTGGTATGGTCGTTACCTTCATGTTGTCTTCTTGTGGCCTACTGGGGTCTTCTTGTAGTATGGTCGTTATCTTCTTGTGGTCTTCTTTTGGCATTGCGGCCTTCTTCTTGTGGTCTTTAGATGATCTTCTTGTGGTCTTCTTGTTCCCTTCTTGTGATTTTCTTGTCATTATTCTAAGCAGCATAAATTGTCTGATCTATTTACTGCAATTTGATTAAAAATGCGTTTGGGGATATTTAGATGAAAATCATATTTCTTTCAAGGTAGTCAAGGTAAGGCTGACTTGGTTGCTGAGTATGTCTTTGGTCATATAATCACATGTGACAATAACAAGCTTCGTCGGTTATTCAAATACGGACCAAAATATCTTTTAAATCCTTGTGGATTCTGTCCAGGCATATGCCAACAATAGGGCCTGATGAGGAGAACCTGTTGAATGTCTGTCAGAGTGGGTTAAGTCAGTGCATGATGTTGTCATGGGTAGGATGCACAAACTGAAAAAGAGGAAACAGAAATGGAACAAACCCATTCTATTCTGTCCAAGCCGGCTAACACCGAAAGTCTGGCTGCCCCACATGATAAGTTTGCAGGTGTTTCCACTGACAAAACCTAAAATAACATAACCATTGTTTGTAAGCACCACTACGTTAACTGTTTGATCAATGACCTTAGTATAAGTGACACATCAAATAATACCACAAATAAGGACGGTATGTTTGGAAGAAATCTGCCAAAAACATGCATCATAACTGTTAACTTTTAACTTGACCCTAACGCCTGATGATATATCCATTCCTCTTATGTACTGGATTCCAAAGCTCCATAAATCCGTACAAAGAACCAAGTTCAATTCTGCCAAAACATTTAATTTTTTTCGACTTTGTACACCACTTTCCCACATGACAAAATTTAGAACAAATGTCATTCCTTGATAAACATAGAAAAATATAGATAGAGTTACATGTCTATCGTTAGAGGTGCAGGTCAAATTGTCAATAATGAAAGCAGATGTCATCTGAAATTTACTAAGGAAAGCATATATGTGCCGGACTTCCTCATTGATAATATCTATGTGAAATTTGGGGGTAATACATTTAGGCAAGAAGTAGGCATCCCTATGGGCGCCAATTGCGCTCAACTTCCTGCTGATCTGTTTCTTTATGCATATGAATCAGAATTTCTGCTCGGATTGGCAAAGTTAAACAAGATAATTTGTCCAAGTTTAACTTAAGCTTCAGGTATATGAACGATCTTATATCGTTCAATAACCATCAAATAGCCAATTCCCTTCAATTGATTTACCCACAAAAACTAAGAATACATGAGACCGCTTCATCTTTTTCACATTAGGATCTATGCATAAAGACGAAGAGTGACAAGACATTCTCCACAAGAATGTATGACAAGAGGGATGACTTCAACTTTCCAATAGTTAACTTTCCCTTTATTGGGAGCAATATTCCTGCAGCTAAAGCCCTTGGTGTCATTTCACAAATTTTGAGTGACAATCGGACATGCTCTTTCCTCCAAGATTTCAAAGACTGTCAAACAACTCTTGATCAGAAGTTGTTTGAGCAATGTTACAACATCCAAGGCCTCAGTAAAGCTTTCAAAGAACGTTTATGGTAGACATGTAAATGGCATTTCCATTTTGACGCATCAGTGACAAAAATTATGTCCAATGCAATTCCAGGGTTTGATTTGTAGCATATGATCCAGCGTTTCATCAGATAAACATGGACGGGTGTCACGGGTGGGGAAGGTTACGTTCAACTTATCTCAAACACCTGGTATCATTACTCGTTGATAGTGGTTCATAAACACATGCTCATGATATTGTCGGAATCGTGCAATCGACTCTGTTTGGAAAGGGTTTAATTGCTTTTATTTACACACTATGGTAATAACGTCACGGTAAGCACCAACTTTTCAAGAATAACACATGACAGGCAAAAACGCGGGCAGCAGCAGGGACGGTAAACTGTACCAGCAGCTCCGTGTAGTGGTGACTGGTTGCATCATATATATAGCTGACTCAGTCTCAGTATACCTGCCCAAGCACCAACAATCACAACCCAGAACAACCTCGGACCCTATCAGAAGCTTCGTGATTTCGGGTCAGTGGGCGCCGGGTTCGGATTATCAACTTCAGCAAGATGTAAATCCGGTAACGACACTCCGGTAGAGCTCCTCCCGAAACGGACAGATATCAGCGAAGAGTCACTGCGGGTGTCTTACTTTCAACAGTTACGCAATGTAAGAGCCGGGTCAAATATCAACTTTGTCAGGTGTTTCCTTACGTACATTGAACCTTAGAAGAGTACATTTGCATTGCTATCTTTTCTGACCAAATGTCGGTATAAAAAATGAGATGGTAATTACCCTCGACGGTAGACATGCTGATTTGCGTTTTATCTCAAGCTCTTGGCGACAGATTGGAAGGAAGTCTGTGACAGTCCTGAGGAGATTTATCTCACCTTAAAATCTTCTAATCAGTGACCGAAGACGGAAGAAATAACTTGGCTTTATTTTTTTAACTTTGTGACGTCAAGTCTCCACGCAACGAAGTACCAACATATATCTTCATTAATTGTGTATTTGCTCAGTTTTATTAAGGGCGCGCCTTTCATTTTGTTTTTGTTTAGTTCAGACTTCATTGAAACCACTACTGCGAAACCTCAGATCACGCGTAAGAGGTGCAATTGAATTTCGTAATATATTTACTCCTCAGAATGATGCATTATGAAACGTTGCAATGAAATAGCTGAAAATATCCTGTTCTTTGTATTGAAATGTTCAGCTGATGTTGGATAATTACGCTATTTGCGAAGGGCCCCAACCGCCCCATACCAGGGCCATCAGCTCCTTATACGACATTAGCCGTGTAATGAACATCTCTCAGCCAGGTGCCTTGATTTATTCCTGTCACCACCATATTAAGTTCTCTCGTCATTATGAGAATTAACATTCATAGATGTGTGACCTTCCTTGACCCAGCGATGTATAATTGCTAGTATCCTCTATACTATTCTGCGTTCGAATGTCATCAAATATCATCAACTACCATCAAATACCATCAAATACCATCACATACCGTCAACTACTGTCAAATACAGTCAAATACCATCACATACCGTCAGATACCATCAAATACCATCACATACCGTCAACTACCGTCAAATACAGTCAAATACCAGCACATACCGTCAGATACCATCAAATACCATCACATACCGTAAACTACCGTCAAATACAGTCAAATACCATCACATACTGTCAGATACCATCAAATACCATCACATACCGTAAACTACCGTCAAATACAGTCAAATACCATCACATACCGTCAGATACCATCAAATACCATCACATACCGTCAACTACCGTCAAATACAGTCAAATACCAGCACATACCGTCAGATACCATCAAATACCATCACATACCGTAAACTACCGTCAAATACAGTCAAATACCATCACATACTGTCAGATACCATCAAATACCATCACATACCGTAAACTACCGTCAAATACAGTCAAATACCATCACATACCGTCAGATACCATCAAATACCATCACATACCGTAAACTACCGTCAAATACAGTCAAATACCATCACATACCGTCAGATACCATCAAATACCATCACATACCGTCAGATACCATCAAATACCGTCGAGTACCATCAAATATTATCAAATACCGTAAAATGCCGTCAAATACCGTCATTTTCAGGAAAGGAAGAGAATTTATGGATGTCAACTTCTTTATTATGAGAACACAACGTTTTGGAGTATATACTTACTCCTTCATCTGGCGATAATAAAGAAGTTGACATCCATAAATTCTCTTTCTTATTTCCCATTTGTCAGACACTTCGAAAGAATATAAGACTTATAATAAATTACTTCATCAACGTACATTATTTAGCACTCTGAACCCGATTGTATATAATAGAATACAAGCTAGGGTATATCTGAACAAAACGTCACCTCACCCTGACAACAACAAAAGTTTGAAAAACGAAGGTACAGTTGATTGTATCGCCGCCGAGTGGACGCCAAGCTCGCTTTTAATTATGTCCGTACGCCCATCATGGCAGTGCTGAGCTTAGACTGGATTCTACTGGGTTTTTGTAATCGCATTAAACCTCTTCATTGTCTCCACCAGCTAGCCCGAGATTCCCAAAGCTAGTTTTTTCCTCGCATTTGTATCAAATATTGAACGCATTGTTTTACAGAACGCCTATACACTACTGGGAGTGATTGTTTGTAAGTAGGAACTTACCCCACTAGGGACGACGTTACAAATTCCTGTGTAAAAAAGGATGATAACCAGCCTAAAAAAGCAATTTAAAAGTAGATCACGTGGGTTAACCACTTGGATTTTATCTCTGTGTTTCGAACATAATTACTTTACGGGGTTTACGAGAACATATATAAATAACAGCCATAGCGGCGGAATAAGGCGATATGCAAATATATACAACGGTGTGACTACCACTGTAGGCAACAAAGGGTGCTTAATAGCCTTCTTTGGTGTTCAATGGATGCTTGGGCGTTGGAGGAGCTCGTCTACATGGGTACAATGTGTGAAGCTTATTTTATGTGTGTCGGGCTGTGATGTTGCTTAAAGCAGTGTACACCTACTCCCTTACTCCAGGCAATGAATTAAGGAGTAGTAGCACATTTGCCAAAGAAGCGGTAAAAGTTTAATAATATTCATTTCACATTAATCACGCAGGGAAGAAGACAGAAAATTCCAAATTAATCAGAAACTTGATAGATTTAGCATTTCTATGATTTCATAAAGAATCAGCTGTAAAGGAAGGAGACATTTCTGTCAATAGTGTCCTGAGCCTTTCTTAGGAGGGAACACAACTCTGATGCACATATCATTCTCTTGACATTATTCATTTTTTGTTAACACTGATGCTTGACGTCTCCCCTTACGGTTACACACGGTGCCAGGCACGCGTACACGGCAGGCTCATACAGACACTTAGGGTACATACCTCGTGTGGTAATGCAGACACGTTGCTCGTCAAGCCTGGAGAGTGTGGTAATGTAGACACGTTGCTCCTCAAGCCTGGAGAGTGTGAAAAATCCCTTTCCATCTTCATAAGAAATCGCTGTATAAAGCAGAGTCGATTGTACGATTCCGACTAC